GATCAGTCCTGTGACCTTCAGCTTAAGTTGCCATGATCTTGACAGTCCTAATAGGTACCTGCTTTTTAAACACACAGTGAGTATAAAACAAAGTATGTTAATTGGCCTGATGCTTTTTGGAAAAATAGAAAGATGCTACCCAAGAAATAAACTATTTTTATTTTATGAATAATCATTACACAGACAAAAAGCTTTTAGGAGATAACAGCTGGAAGAACAAGCAGCCCCTCACTATACTGTGAAAGTCACAGCACTGTGGAAATGTAATGTTCATTGTAATAAGAAATACCTGAAAATGTAAAGAGAGATTTTGCTGCTAACTATATCACAAATATCATTCAGTGATATATATCAAAGGAAACTGCATTCATGAAAGGAGGGAACTGATTTAACAGACATCTGGTCTAGATAAATTTATCATGTCTACCATTCTAATTATATGCTAATGATATGATTTCACACTGCTTATAATCTCAGAAGCATACTGTTTCTAATTATACATTACTCAGAAAAAAGACCTTACTGGCTTCTGTCTTTCAATTGTTGTTCTTATCCAGCCACCTTCGCTCCAAGTAGGTAATTTTAATGTTGCCTTTGCTTGTGGTACCTGAGAATCACCTGAACATTGGTGGATTTATGCTCACTAATCCCTGCAAGTTCAGGAAAGAGTATAATTATTGGTGCATTTCAGTTGGAGAAAATCTTCAAAACAGTGGTAGGGTGTTTAAATGTACTTCTAAAAATAAGAAAACTTCTGTGCCAAAAATACAGTTAGTGGCTTAAGTCTGCCTCCCTGTTTTGCATAGCAACAAGTCTTGTGTTAGGTTTTAGTGTATCAGAGACCTCTCCCCATACGCAGCATAAAGTTCTTTTCCTTGCAAAACCAGCCTCCAGAGATTGATGTGCAGCTGCCATAGTTTGCAAACATCTTCTCCCACCTCTTACCTCGCCAAAGAAATGTTGTTTCTGATGGCTTCCTCGTGGTACTTTGTGTTCCCTCTTAATTAATCAAAGAGTTCTTATCTTTTCTGCACTTCATCTTGTCTAACAGGCATTCCCAAAAGAATCTGAATTTTATTTCTAGGAATAAGCATGTTGTCTTATTGGGACCATGTGTTCGTCAGAGTCTGCTCTCTGTCCTCTCTGCAGTACATACGAGAAACCACATTGATTCATTCCTGGAGCACTATCTTTGAACATTCATGCTATTTTTATTAAACATAACTCTGTTCTTTTCTCCCTTCTCCCCTTTCCCCTGCACCCTCCAGCTATATCCAGACTCACTGAGTCAAAAAAGGAATAAATGGAAAACATATTAAAAAGAAGCTTATGTCCATATGGAGGAGAACTGACATCAATTTTCAAACTGGGAAGACTCTGTTATACCGTCCAGTTTTGCCTTTGGTTATTCATACAACTCAGATGCCTGTGCAGGTGAGTCAATGCCTGAGCAGCCAAGGAAAGGACAGACACCTCCAGTCCTGTCCCCTCGCTGGAAAACCAGCAAGGTGTTTTGCAAAAAAATGCAGTTATCTCTGTATGCAGTGCATTGTGGTCAACTCACCCATGCAAGCATCAGTTCTGCAGCCCAGAGGGACTGCTCTTACATAGAAGCTCTTCCACTCTTGTAAGGCTGTTTGCTAAGACTGATATGTGGGATGTAGGACCCCCAAGGGGGAACACTTGCTGCTGTTGCCAGCAGAGTTTCTCAAGAAGCCCACAGTTGGGTGGCTGCTCCCCACTCGCGGCCCCAGCAGCAGCACGGGCATCTGTGCTGAGTACATGATCTTCCTCTTCTTCCTCCTGCTCTGGGTGAGAAAAGGGAGCAATATTGGACAGGCAGATGGGTTTTTTGTTTTCCTGATCCATTCTGGTGAAAGTTCTTCAAACTCATAGATCAACTCACCGGGGTTAATATCTCTGAATCATGTTGGAGTTATCCTTGCCTGTAGTCAGTACTTGGCTTATGCAGGAACCTAAGCAGCCCCATCATTTCTCTGCACTGAAAGAAGGTTAGAAATTGGTGGTGGAGAAAGATGAGAGCCCGGCTTTGGTCCCGTGAGGTTTCCTCTCACCCCAAAAGCCGTGAGTTACTCCCAGAGCTTTGTGCATTCAATGTAGTAGCCCTTGTTTGACCTGGTCAGCTCTTCTGAGCACTGGTGCATTGCAGGGAGGGGCAGAACATCTGCACGCAGCCCACAGACGCACACAGATGTAGCTGAAGTAGCTCCTCAAGAGCTGTCGTGTCTGTGCCCCATGGGGAGCTCAAATCCTGGGAAGAGTGTCTTAGCAGAGAGCTGTTGGTCAACCCCACAACACCAGCCCTCTCCCACCGGCCGCCAGCCTGTTTCCAATGTCAAAGGGGGCTTTTCAAGGGCAGATTTTTATGTCTAACACTTGCTTGAGGTCAGCTGGAGAGAGATCTCTCCCTAACTCCCCAACTGGTCTGCTCTGTCAGGTAAAATCATTGCAAGTTAATGAAGAAACCAGATAGAGATTTCTGGCTCCTGGTTGGGACAGGTGTCCACTTCAATGTGATAATGAACAGTGAGGGAACCTTGAAGTGAGCTAGATTTCTCCTGGTCCTAATAAAACTCAGACCCAGCCTTGAATAGATCACAGCTGAATTGCAGCTGTGACTCAAAATGATGTAAGAAAGTGGGGAGAGGAAAAAGAAGAAACTGTTCAACCCTCGGCACAGTTTTGGTACTCTTCAGGGCTGCTTTTGTGCTGGAGTGTTTTGGAACAGGGTGCTGACAGCTGTTTGAAATAGAAATGCCATATAGTATCACTCCAGCACCACCTTCCATAACAAGTCAGTCTGGATTATCAATATGGATGTGATGTTGAAATCTGGTCCTGAACTACGAAATTTGCTCTATAACCTTTTCTCGTTCACAATACCCTTTTCTCATTCCCAGAATGAAAATTGTCCAAGCGTGTCCTCATAGCTGAGCTTTCTTTGGAAATAAGCCTTAACCCTCTTTTCGGACTGAGAGATTGAGAACGTTAAGGGATCTCTAAGGCCAACAATATCAGGGCAAGAGCTCAGATTTCTTCTCTCTGGGCCACAGTTGCCCAAAACCATGGTGAATATGGTTACTTCAATGGTGAGAAACCCATACAAAACCCCCTGGAATTGTAGAAATGTGAGAAATCTTAGCTGCGATAGTAGCAGAGTGCTGAGAATCAGGCAGGATTGTGCCCATAGCTCAGTTCAAAAAAAATGTGCTAGATTAATAGGCATAATCAAGACTGACATTGAGTAAGAGGCAAGAACGACTAATCAGATGCTAACTTAGCTGATGCTGGCATTGCTGAAAGCCCGGGGGCATAGTCCAAGGATAAAAACATAACGTCTTATCTAACCAAGGAGTCATTTGTGCACCACTAGTTACGACACGTTCTTAAAAAAGGAAAGAAGGAAAAAAAATTATATTATGCCCTAGAAATGATAAGAAAATAAAGCTAAGTGTTCCTGCGCCCAATCTTTACAGGGGAAAAGCCTATCTAGATTTAACCCATTGCAATGTCCACTGTAAGTCCCTAGGATATGGAAAAATCCATTAAAAAAAGAAGTAAAATTGGAACAAAATCAAAATGAATATATCTAAGACATTTCAAAACTCAGTTTTGGCATATTTCTTGCTATTTGGAGATTGCTAGGATACACGGGGCCGCCCTGCTCCTCGGTTCAATGAGAGTTCAGGCAGTCTGGCAATCCTCTTCTTTTGGCCAAAGCTCCTTTTCTGGCTACACATCTCCCTATTTCTCAAGACCCTTCTTTTCCTCCAGATTCAACAGGATGTTGAATTGGATCTCGCAGAACAGCTCATGGAAAGGAAAGGCCCTCTGACACAAAACAACGTCACTGGAGAGGGAACTGTAATGTCAGGGAAAGCATCTGGAAGATGAAACCAGGAACAAACCAAGCACTTCAAGCTATATCACTTTGCATGGCTGACTTGTATTTCCAGTCTTTTGCAGTACAGCTCATGAGTCTTAACAAGGAAAGAACTTCTGTGCAAAATTCAGTAAATTAAAAAAACCACCAATCCACAGTCCTGTGGGGAAAAACTGGAATTGTATTTCCATAACATGTCCTTTTCCCAGAAAAGCCGGGCATGGGTCAGCGTGAAATGCAACACCACCCATCTACAAGGGAGTCTGCCCAGTCTCTTCCAGCCTTTTCCATTTTTCAATATTTGCCATTGCTTGACATCTTCTGCCCTAATGTCTGGCA